CCCCAAAACCCTCAAACCCTAAACCAGAAATACCCTAAACCCTAAACCCTAAACCCTGAACCCTAAACCCTAAACCCTAAGCCCTAAACCCTAAGCCCTAAACCCTAAGCCCTAAACCGTAAGCCGTAAGCTCCGTAGACCCGAAGAGCGAGCGGGTTCAAGGACCTGTGATGCTTTCGGCGTCCTCCCGCCCGTGTCCAAACTGTCGCCTGCACAGGCCTGCGGGGTTTAGGGTTTTAGGGTTTAGGGTTTAGGTTTAGGGTCTAGGGGTTTAGGGTTCAGGGGTTTAGGGTTTAGGGTTTAGGGTTCAGGGGTTTAGGGTTTTAGGGGTTTAGGGTTTCGGGGTTTGCTGTTTAGGATTTTGTGTTTGGGGCCTGGGGCTTAGGGTTTGGGGCTTAGGGTTTCGGGCTTGGGGTTTAGGGTTTGGGGTTTAGGGTTCAGGTGGTTCAGGGTCAAGGGTTTAGGGTATGATCCCCTTATGACTCCGATACGATTTTCAGAAACCTTGACTCCAACGTGTGCTTCAAGAGCCTGCAATGGCAATGTTTTCAGATCTGATCAACTTCGGGGTCAAGAGGGTTTAGGGTCTGGGGTTTGGAATGAGGCCGTGCGCAATACAAACCCCTGATTCGCAAAGTTGTCACATGAACTACTCCAAACATTCGAAGAAGCTAGGAACTTAGACCCCTACGTTTATGTTAGTGTGGATGTTGTGAGTTTGCCATCGCAGCTGACTGTAGCGTCGCCTTCTTTCCTCTACTCTGCCGAGCTTCTGCAGGCCATGTATCACTTCATCTCCGGATACACGGCAAAGGCGCCGATTGAAGGTTGTAAACTAGGGCTCGGAGTAATTACTAATACTATTCCCTGATGGTCCCTTTACGATTATACTGTAAGAACCCCAACGCCCTATTCTAATCATTCAGGCCCCTGTAGTAGATGTTAACATTGGCTTCTAACAGCATGGCAACGAGTCGGCTTCTAGGGGACCTTGCTTTCGTTACGGGCAATGAGTCCGTTCAGGGCAGAACAGGGAGCTCGCCAAGCAGGCATAAAACCCTAAACCCTGAACCCTGTACCCTGAACCCTAAATCCTGAACCCTGAACCCTACACCCTAAACCCTAAACCCTAAACCGTGTGTTCCGCAAGTGATCCCTGTGCTGAACAGCCGATTTCTTGTTGCCGAGGTGGCTGGAACCGAGATGGGCATCACCGAGCCTACCGCCCCACCACTGCAGTCATGGCCCCTGTAAGCCCTCAGTCCTCGCACTAAATACCCTAAAGCTTCAGGCACCTAATTGCTCCATAGCCAGGCCGCCAAGGGTAAACCCTAAGTACCAGGAACCCCAAACACCAGCAACCTCAAATAGAGCCTAAACCACACTACTGAAGACCTGCCAAAGCCTTAAACCCCAAACCAACGATAACACCCCTAAACCCCAAACCCCTTCAACCACTTCAAAATGCCCCAGAACCCAACAAACAAACCCCCCCCCCCCCAAAAAAAAACAACCGAAACCCTAAACACCCCAAACCCTAAACCCTAAACCCTAAACCCTAAACCCTAAACCCTAAACCCTAAACCCTAAACCCTAAACCCTAAACCCTAAACCCTAAACCCTAAACCCTAAACCCTAAACCCTAAACCCGAAACCCTAAACCCTAAACCCTAAACACCCCAAACCCTAAACTCTTTGAACACTGAGCCCTCCCTCAGATGCCGCCTTCATTAGGCGACGTTCTCCGCTTGCTTCGGGGCCCCGTTCATGGCGGGGGAGCCCGGGGTTGGGTTTAGGGTTTAGGGTGTAGGGTTTAGGGTTTTGGGTGTAGGGTTTAGGGTTTAGGGTTTGGGGTTCGGGGTTTAGGGCTTGGTTTAGGGTCTTTAGGGTTTGGGTCTAGGCTTTGAGGGGTTAGGGTTTGGGTGTAGGGTTTGGGGTTTAGGGTTTGGTGTTTGAGGTTTAGGGCTTGCGGTTTAGGGCTTAGGTGGGGTTTAGGGTTTAAGGTTTGGGGTTTAGGGTTTAGGGTTTGGGGTTTGTTTGAGGGTTCTAGGGTTTGGGGTTTAGGGCTTGAGGTTTCTGCGGTTTTGGGTCTAGGGCTCAGTGTTTACGCTTCGGGCGTAAGGACTTGGTTTTAGCGTTTCAAGTGGCTGCGTTTGCAGAAGAAAAGCCGCTTCTGTGGGTTAGACCAGCCCAGCACCTGAAGCACAGTTTGCCAGAGTCGTGCACTTCATCCGAAGACATGTCGCTCAAGACCTAAACTCCAAACCCAAAATCCTATCCCCAGACTCCAACCCCTAAACCTTAAACCCCAAGCTAACCCCAAACATTATGGTGCCTTTCCCCTTGGACAGGTCTGGCATCCTGCAAAGTACGCGGAGCTGTTGGCCGACAACATGGCCAAGCACCACGTCAACGCTGCGTCCCCAGCGCTGTTCGTTTTGTTGGCTGATGGGTTTAGTTCAACCCGAGACCCCGGTTTTACCTTGCATCTTACAAACCCGAAAATCCCTAAACCCTAACCCTAAACCCTAAACCCTAAACCCTAAACCCTAAACCCCAAACCCTAAACCCCACTTAACCGCATTCTGAAGATTCCCAGGCGTGGCTGATCAACACCGGCTGGACAGGAGGCGGCTTCGGTTCGGGCCATCGAATGAGCCTCAAGGCAGGCCATTTCGGTGCAGGTGGTTTAGGGTTTAGGGTTTAGGGTTTAGGGTTCAGGGTTCAGGGTTCAGGGTTCAGGGTTTATAGGGGTTCAGGCGAGAAAGTACCTTAACTGGGGTCTCCTGCTGGCGTTCCAGCCTTCCGTGCGTCTGCCTGAGGGACCCTTCAGGCTTGCAGGTTTCGAGTGTTTTATATAGGAGGTCGGTTTTAGGGTTTAGGGTTTAGGGTTTAGGGTTTAGGGTTTAGGGTTTAGGGTTTAGGGTTTAGGGGATTCTGATGATCTTAACGTTTTAGGGTTCGAGGGTTTTTAGGGTTGAGGGCGTTAGGGGACAGAAGTACCTTACATGGCTCTCCAGCTAGCGATGATCTTAGCAGGACACTCGGGCCATCATCGATGCCATCCACTCCGGGGACTTGGCCAAAGCACAGCCACCTGGCCTGCAGGTTAGCCTTAAACCCTAAGACTGGCCCCTTTCCAGCGGTAGGGAGGGCTGCTGGAAACCTAAACCCTAGCCTAGACCCTATACCCTAAACCCTAAACCCCAAACCCTGACAGAGAAGGACCAAAACCCTAAACCGTTCACGCGGGGCAAAGGTACGAGAGCTTTCCGCGGTTTAACCTCCAGGCCCGGACAACTCCACAGCCATATGTGAGGTTTGGAGTGAATGGGTTTAGGGTTTAGGGTTTTGGGTGTAGAGGTCAGGGCTTGGGGTTTGTAGAGTTTAGGGTGTAGAGTCAGATTAGGGTTTACAGGCTCCAGGGTGGGTCCGATCTTGGGGGCTGCTTTCGAAGAAAAGTTTCCCCCTTCAGCAGGCCCCAAAAGGGGAGTTGAGGGTCTTGCGTTTATAGGCTTCAGAGGAGTAGGGTTTGTAGGGTTTATAGGGTTTATAGGGTTGTAGGGTTTGCAGGGTTTGTAGGGTTTATAGGGTTTAGTGGGTTTATGGGTTTTGTACGGTTTTGAATGTCGGGTTGTTGGGGGGTTATGAGGTTTATGAGGTTTATAGGAGCTCCCTTCACCCAGCAAGCCCCTTCAGACCTCAGCCCTTTAACCCTAAACCCTAAACCCTAAACCCTAAACCCTCTCCCCTAAACCCCAAACCCTAAACCCTAAACCCTCGACGCGGTGAAGGTGCCGAAGTCCTGCCCAAACGTGGATCCTAAGATGCTCATGCCGAACAAGACCTGGGCCAACCAGGCAGGGCTTAGGGTTTAGGGTTTGGGGTTTAGGGTTTAGGGGTTAAGGGGTTTAGGGGTTTTAGGGTTCAGGGGTTTCGAGGTTTAGGGGGTTAGGGGTTTAGGGATTAGGGTTTGGCGTTTAAGCTTACTGAGCCAATACTTGAACATGTTTTTTTTTGTTTCCTCTCTCGGGGGTTTCTTTAGGTTGCAATAGGAAGAATATTCAGCTTAACCTTTTGATTCCATGGTTTTTGGAGACATGTAGCTTCAGGGGTGAAGGTTTGGAAGTCTAGGAGGGTGCGGGGTTTAGGGTTGAGTGGCGTTTAGGGGTTTGGGGACTGCTTGTGGGTTTTTCGCTGCTGATAAAGGCGGAAGGCGTGGAACTCATTTTGCCCCTCCTCATGACCCTACACCCCAAACCCGAAGCCCTAAACCCTAGACCCTAAACCCTAAACCCTAAACCCTAAACCCTAAACCCTAAACCCTAAACCCTAAACCCTAAACCCTAAACCCTAAACCCTAAACCCTAAACCCTAAACCCTAAACCCTAAACCCTAAACCCTAAACCCTACCCAGGATGAGTTCAACAAGGCCTCTGAGAAGCTGGCGCAGCTCTTCAAGGCCCTGCTGCTTGGGGGCTTCCGCTTTACTTGGGACCTTTGAGCCCTGCCCCCCGAACCCCACACCCTAAACCTACAGCCTAGAACCTAAACCCCAAACCCCACATCCTAAACCCTAAACCCTAAACCCTAGACCCTAAACCCTAAACCCTAAACCCCAAACCCTAAACCCTAAACCCTAAACCCTAAACCCTAAACCCTCAACCTAGCCAGGACAACTTCAAGAAGTTCGAGTCGGGCTGCTCCGAGGACATCCGCGCAGCGGCGCCGGAGTGAGGCGGGGATCTCAAGGTTCTTTAGGGGCTCTCTTTAGCTTAGGGTTTAGGGTTTAGGGTTTAGGGTTTAGGGTTTAGGGTTTAGGGTTTAGGGTTTGGGTTTAGGGTTTAGGGTTTAGGGTTTAGGGTTGAGGGTTTAGGGTTTAGGGTTTAGGGTTTAGGGTGCAGGGTTTAGGGTTTAGGGTTTAGGGTTTAGGGTTTGGGGTTTCCGCATAAACGTAAGGATCCTACGGGCCCCTAGAAAGGGGATTCTGGAGAACCACGTTTATAGAATCCTTCAGTTTATGTTGTTTTTTGGGCCCCTAGTTATGGAGCGCCGTTCTGTTTTCGAATTTTATGGTTTGGGGGGTTCGGGGTCTTTGGGTCTTGGGGTTTTGGGGCTTTAGGGTTTTCGGGTTTAGTTTTTTTTTTTTCGTGTGTTTTAGCGTTTCCAGGGTTTTGGGGTGTTAGGGTTTTAGGGTTTTGGCGTTTTGGGGTTTCGGGGTTTAGGGTTTCGGGGGTTGGGAGTTGGGGATGTTGGGGTTTAAGGGTTTTGGGGTTGAGGGCTTCGGGCCCATAGGTTGCTCCGTAAGCCTTAATAAACCCAAAAACCGCAAAGCCCCCAAAACCCCCAAAAGGCCCAAAACCCCGAAAAACGCCAACAGCCCCAAAACCCACCAAAAACCTCCAAAAACACCCCAAAAACCCCTTCAAACCCTCAAGCCCCAAGATTGTGTTTCCTAACCCTAAACGCTAAACCCTAAACCCTAACCCTAAACCCTAAACCCTAAACCCTAAATCCCTAAAGCCCTAAAGCCCTAAAGCCCGAAGATTGTGTGTCCTGACTGCTTGCCCCCTTGGCTTCCCTGGATGTCGCCCAGCTCGCCCATGTAGCCGCGTAGCACAGATCCTTTGGGTTTAGGGTTTAGGGTTTAGGTCGTAGGGTTTAAGGTTTAGGGTTTAGGGTTTAGGGTTTAGGGTCTGGGATTTAGAGTTTAGGGTTTAGGGTTTAGGGTTTAGGGTTTAGGGTCTGGGATTTAGAGTTTAGGGTTTAGGGTATAGGGTTTATTGCTTAGCCTAACCGTTGAACCTCAGACTGCCGTATTATGCAGGGAGCGTAGAGCTTAACCTTTCATCCTTTGGCTATTGGAAAAGCATGCAAATCCTTAAGCCTTCCATTTGTAGCTTGTCCGCCGAGGTGATACAGATCGTTCCCACTCTTAGCAACTGTCAATTCTTTTTGCTATTCTGAGTCGGGGTCCTTGAGAAATTGGGAATTCCCCCCTAAACAAAAATGGGGGATTCCCTTTCTGCCAAAAGACAGGGACCCTCATTCGGAACCTTTCCAGACGTGCCGCACAAGCCTTTCTTGGGGGAGCTGCCCCGAGCTGCTGAACTGCTCTTCAGACCATTCCACGACGCGCGGGAGGCGTAGGCCCCCTCAACCCCTCCGCAATCCTAGCCCCTTTTGGATGCCCAGGTTTAGGCTTTAGGGTTTAGGGTTTAGGGTTTAGGGTTTAGGGTTTAGGGTTTAGGGTTCAGGGTTCAGGGCTTAAGGAAGCCCGACAGCCCAAACCATGAATTTTACTCCTTGAGCCGTAAACCCGAAGGCAATGGGCCCGCCACGGGTCTCTATGATGGAATACGGTTTGGTATGATGCTGCTGGTGATGATGGGTGATGGGAGTTATTGCATGATTCTATGGTGCTACTCTGCTCTTGTACTATTGTACTACTGTATTCCTGTATTCTTGTCCTGTTGTATGGTTTAGTATTGTGCTACGATTGTATTAGTGTGCTCTTCTTATTGCCACTGCCACTGCCACTGCCACTGCCACTGCCACTGCCACTGCCACTGCCACTGCCACTGCCACTGCCACTGCCACTGCCACTGCCACTGCCACTGCCACTGCCACTGCCACTGCCACTGCCACTGCCATCATCATCATCATCATCGTCATCATCATCATCATCATCATCATCATCGTCATCGTCATCGTCATCGTCATTATCATCATCGTCAGTCGTGTTGCTGTCGTCGGGGATATCATGGTTATCATCGTGCCTATTATGAGTAGGATTCATCATTGATGTAGGGCTCGTGATTGAGATCAGCCGCCATATCGGCTTGTCGTGGTATGGCTGAAGGCAGACAGCACAGCAAACAGCACTTCAGCACAGCGAGCGACTTCGGCTAAAAGCTTCACTGGTGTCGCAGACTGGCGTGGCTTGGGCCCAAAACCTGTGCAATTCGACGCTGAGTTTGAGGGGATGTTCCCGCTTGTACTAGCAGCCCTTAACAGGGATTACAATAGGGGGCATCATAGTCCTTTCCGGAAGGGAATCGGACTTGTGCGAGTGCGTTGCCGTGATTCCCCTTCTGAGAAGTGAACCCTAGCCCGTCCACCCTTTAGGGTTTAAGCATTAGGGCTTAGGGTTAAACCCTAAACCCTAAACCCTTGTGAAAACCCTAAACCTAAACCCTAAGCCTTAAACCCCAAGCCCCAAACCCTAAACCCTCAACCCGAAGCCCTAAACCCTAAACCCTCAAAACCTGAGTAGCCGAAATCGCCGCTTGTGACAATTTCAAAGCAATTTTGAGCTTGATGGGCACTTGCTGCCCCCTGTCTGCGCGTGGAACCACCCTGGTCCTGAATCCTGACCCCGGCAACGGGGAGCCCCTAAACCCTAAACCCTAAACCCTGAACCCTAAACCCCAAACCCTGAACCCTAGACCCTAGACCCTAAACCCTAAACCCTATACCCTATACCCTAAATCCTAAACCTTGAAACCCCAAACCCTACGCCGAAACCTGGGTCCCCAAACCCTTCTTCCCCAAACCCCACGTACTCCGTCGTCTTTGGTCAGTTCCCTCCATCATGACCAGGAAGAGCTAGGGTTTAGGGTCAAAAGGCTTATATAGTGGTTTAGGCTTTAGGGCTATAGGGCTTGGGGTTTTAGGGTTTAGCTTACTAAGTCTTGAGAGGAGTCACGGACTTGGCGGTACTGTACATCCCCCTTTCCGCCCCTTTGAGGGCGTACATCGGGCACCTAAGTCCCGAATTCCCTACTCGGAACTAGTCAGGCAAAGAGAACTAGACTCCCAATGTAGATCCCCAAATAGCAAGATTCCCTTATAGTAAGGACCCCAACAAGGTACCCCTAAAGCAAATATGGAGCCTTGCAGAACTCATCCGACCCTCCTTCACAGGAAGCCAAGGGAAGTGTATGCCCTAAACCCTTAACCCCTAAAATCCTAAACCCTAAACCCTAAGCGCCACACCCGAATAAGCTTGCATCCCCCCCCCCTCACCTGCCACACCCCCCTGGTTCCTTGTGTCTTTGAACCAGGGGGGTCTGATCGCTTAACAACCCAACTCTAGGGTTTAGGGTTTAGGGCTTAGGGCTTAGGGCTTAGGGCTTCAGTGAGTTGGAGGCGATACAATGTTACAAGCTCCCCTGAACTCGAGGTTTATCAACCCTATGCCACCCGAAACCCTAAACCCTAAAACCCCCAAAAGCCGAAAAAAACCCCTAAAACCCCTAAGACCCTACAAGCCTAAACCCTAAATCCTCAGAGACGCAGTTTTCTTACAGTTCTCCGGCGTGGCCCTGGACCCCTAAACCCTAACCTCTAAACCCCAAACCCCAAACCCTAAACGCTAAATCCTAAACCCTAAACCGCCTTGACACCCCCCCCCCCCCCGCGAGCCAGTGGAGCACGTTCAGATGGTGGACAGTCTGAATTTGGATCTTTCCCTTTCCAAGACTATTGTTTGCCTAAGAACCCCGCATGACATCTGGGCAATAAAAGGATTACTATTTTTTGTGTTTTTTTGCGGGGGTTCTTAAGCAAATAGTAGCAGAGGGTTTTAAAGCAGGATCCCGCTTTGCGAAGAGGCGATTTAGGGGCCGCGTGCCCGATGCAGATAGAGTGTCGGTCGGAAGCGAGAAGAGCCTGAAATAGGGGTCGGAGTAAGCCCCTCATAGTCCCTGTATATATACAAATAAATAATTACATAAATAAATAAATAAATAAATATATATATTTATTTATAATGATATCTATATACATATATATCATTATATATATATATAATGATATATGTGTGTATATACACACACACACACTATAATACCCCTCTCCCCCCAAAGAAAATGAACAAAACTATTCTAGGGTTCTCGGTGGTAGGCTAAAACAAATAGAGACCAGAGCCAAACCCAAGTCGCAAGGAGGTATACGTGCCGGCGACACGGCGTAGCATGAATCTGGTTTCGGGTCTTGTGTCTTGGGTCTTGGGTTTTAGGGTTAGGGTTTAGGGTTCAGGGTTAAGCTTGCACGAAATCACGCACATTCTGAATTCAAGCGCGGGACTTTCTACAGGGATCCTCGCAGACGTCAACTCGAAGCGGGCTTATAAGCGGGGTGTAACAACACTTATAATTGGGTTATAAGTACTCTGAACCTCCAAGTAATCCTACGCCCTCCCATAGGCACAGGCTTCAGTCGGATTGCAAAGGAGAGCCCAGGATATAAAGTGAGCCATAGCTGCGGACACGAAGCTCATTTTTGGGCTCCGAGGCTCCTTCCAGAATGATAGGCCTGGTCCTCCTCAGCGCACTCCTTCCTCCCTCCACCCGACATGGCGGGTCGCATGTGGTTGACTATGCTCACACGGTCGAGGTGAATATCGAGGATGTATGCAGGACGTTCCCATGGCGTGCACCTGGGAGGACGCCCGCCACCTGGGTACTCTCAGGGGCTTGATGGTCTCACGCTCCCGAAGGTCCAGCCATGTGTGAAGGCAGAGGTTGCGTGGGCCATCAGTTGCCGGAACGATGGAGGCAAAGTCGCTGAGGAGTGCTTCCAGCATACCCCGCTCCGCTCCGTCGGGGACGCGTCCTGGATCGCCTTCGTCAATGGCCCCCGGACAGCAATCCCAAGGACGACGGTGAGGGTCGGAGGCTGCGAGTGGGTCCGCAACCCCGTGCCGGCGCGCAAGATGTGTTCGCGCAGCCGCATGGCAGAAGTGGGACATCTGCTGGGCCATGTGGTCGCACGTGGAAAAACTGTCCTCATACCCGCCCGGCCAGGCCCAGTTCTGGTGGTCCCAGCAGACCTTGAGCCAGGTGGGGGGTTTACGAAAGACCCCCAAATAGTAGGATTCTCTGAAAAAGGGCCCCAACAAGGTACGGAAAACCCCAGGTGAGTCTTTGCTTTCCTGGCATTGGGATTGTGAGGAGACTCGGCAAAACTGCGCCGACATAACCATTGTGGACGGTAGGCGGGTGTCCTCCTTTGAGCCCGGGCCAAGACACTGGTGGATCTGAGCCGGGCATGTGGAGGGGTGAGTTGGTGCAGTTTTTGCGTTACCGCCTTCTTCGGCTTAATTTCATTGCGCTCGCAATCTATGCCGTCTCGTTACCGCGAATTTGCTTCGGCTTAGACGAATTTGTTAGACATCGCACGGTGGATTGGATCCGCAACTGGAGACTCTTTCTGGAGAAAGAGTGAACCTGGCAAGGACAGTGGAGTTTAGGGTTTAGGGTTTAGGGTTTAGGGTTTAGGGTTTAGGGTTTAGGGTTTAGGGTTTAGAGAAGAGATGCCCTCAGAAGTGGTGGTCTGAAGGTTCCGATGTGCTGCGCAACCCCTGAACATTGCACCCGAAGCCCCCAGAAAGTTTCGAGATGCTGAGAAATGGGGCTTAGGGTTTAGGGTTTAGGGTTTAGGGTTTAGGGTAGGCGCGTAGCATGGCAAAGAACCTTGCACTCGGCCAGGTTCACAATTTGGGTGTTTGGGTTTGGGCTCAAGCACGAATGTGCCTAGCAGCCATGTGTGCGGAACATGTCATCTGAACCCTAAACACTAAACCCTAAACCCTAAACCCTAAGCCCTAAACCCTAAACCCTAAACCCTAAGCCACAAACCCTAAACCCTAAGTCACGTATCTCCGGAGGTGGCATTGAGGCTACGAATGGCAACCGTGCGCCAGACTTTCATCATTTGGGATTTTATCCGAAAACCGGGAACCCCCAATAAAGTCCCCACATAGTAGGATCCCTTACTAAGAGGACCTCAATAAGGCACCCCTAGATTCGGAAACCCCCATTTCGTTACGTGGAGACCGGCAAGGGCCGAGCCAAGACATCTGTTGTTACTTGTATTTCATGGGCAAACACCATTGCCAGCCTGTCGTCGCATGGCGCCTCATCCATCTGGTGCGAGGTCGGCTGTGACACTTTCGAGCGATGACCGTTCACTTTTCTGCTGCCGTTCAACCCCTAACCCTAAACCCTAAACCCTAAACCCTAAGCCCTAAACCCTAAAAATCCTAAACCCGAAATCCTAAACCGTAAAACCTATAGATCCATTAGATCCTGAACCCTATAAGACCCTAAACCCTATAGAACTTCTTAATCCAGGAGGTTGCGTGTCTTTCCCTAAACCGTAAACCCTAAACCCTAAACCCTAAACCCTAAACCCTAAACCCTAAACCGAGCAGCGTGGGGTGCACCTCAACACAGCGGCCTGCGCTCCCTCAGCCTTTTTCCCTGAACTGCAGGCGGGCCCGAAGTCCCGAAACGCCGGGCATGTAGTGCCTTTTCGCTTCTCGCTTTAGGGTCTAGTAGGGTTTAGGGTTTAGGGTTTCGGGTTTCGGGTTTAGGGTTTAGGGTTAAGGGTTTAGGGTTTAGGGTTTAGGGTTTCGCAAAAGGCTTCAGTTCCCGAAGCCCCGAAGCCCACCAACGGCTTGCCACAAGGGTTTAGGGTTTCGGGTTCAGGGTTCAGGGTTTAGGGTTTCGGGTTTAGGGTTTGGGGACGCAAGCCTGGAGAGTCGTATCAAAGGGTTAAGACTCGTACCCCAAGGTTGTACCCCTAAAGGCTTCCCAAAATGTACTCCTAATAAACATGGCCCTTGTATTCCCTCAAGGACGTTGAAACTGGTTCCCAAAAACAATGGTACCACCTAAAGGGACGAAAGGAAGGACAAGAAGGGAATATGTTGGGGGGCCTACTTCACATGGGGACTCCGGGGGACCAATGTACTATATAGGTACGTGTTGGAGGAAACCCCGAGCCCTCAACTCTAGTAGGAAAAGCGCCCCTTCTGTTGGCCCCAAACCCCCAAACCCCAAACCCCAAACCTCAAACCCCAAACCCCAAACCCCAAACCCCAAACCCTAAACCCTAAACCCCCAAACCCCAAACCCCTAGACCCTAAACCCAAACCCTAAACCCTAAAGCCCAAACTCTAAACCCTAAACCCCAAACCCTAAACCCTAAACCCCAAACCCTAAACCCCCTAGCATCCCTTGCCACAGTCGCCAGGGATGCGGTACAAACCTTCGCCACGCACTCGGGGAGCTTCCAGACCCAAGCTGGAATAGGGCGTAGGGCCCTTGGGCTTGGGTTTAGGGGCTTGGGTTTGGGGTTTAGGGTTTAGGGTTTGGGGTTTAGGGTTTGGGGTTTAGGGTTTAGGGTTTAGGGTTTCGGGGTTCGGGTTTGGGGTCAGGGATTTCGGGGCCTACCGCAGGGCTTAGGTTTCGAGGTTAGTCAGTCATTTGATCTGGAAAGGAACCTCGTTTGATACGCTCAGCTCGAAGCCGAAGCGGTTGACCCTGCCCTCCCCCTGGCAGCCCGCCCGCCCCAACCCTAAACCCTAAACCCTTAACCCTAAACCCTAAACCCTAAACCCGAAACCCTCATCCCTAAACCCTAAACCCTAAACCCTAAAGCCTAAACCATCTGAGCACCCTTCCCTTCGGCCCAGTTGAAGTTGGCTGCGGGCCATGACCTGCCCGGCCTAGCCCTTTGACGTCCGGTCTTGGGGTCTATAGGGTTTGGGGTTTAGGGTTTAGGGTTTGGGGTTTAGGGTTTAGGGTTTAGGGCTTGGGGTTTAGGGTTTGGGGTTTAGGGTTTAGGGTTTAGGGCTTTGGGTTTGGGGTTTAGCGGGGTTTGGGGTTTAGGGTTTGGGGTTTAGGGTTTAGGGTTTTGGGTTTAGGGCTTGGGGTTTAGGGTTTGCGGGTTTTAGGGTTTAGGGGTTCAGGATCTAGGGTCTGTGGGTTTAGGGTTTGGGGTTTAGGGCTTGAAGGGGTCTTGGAAAGCCACGTTGTGAGAAATCCTCACTTCTTGGAAGGGTCTAGGGTTTGGTTTTACATCTGCCTCTCGTGATCACAATGGCTTCAAGGGCATCGCAACTTGTATGGCATGCCCCAAGCCGCGAAAACCTTAAATAAGCTCTCAATCCTAACATCCTGAACCCTGAGACCCGAGTTCTGCGCCCGAAATCCCATGTTGGGTTTTGTGCGGCGCCTTTGACAGTTTCAAACTTGCTACATATAGGATGTGCTGCTTCGGCATGCAAGAAGACGCCCTAGCCCCTAAAACCCAAGACCCTAGACTCTAAGACCGAAAACCCGAAACACCTACATAAACCCGAAGCCCTAGAACTTTACACCCTAAACATCCCCAAACCCTAAACCCTAAACCCTAAACCCTAAACCCTAAACCCTAAACCCTAAACCCTAAACCCTAAACCCCAAACCCCAAACCCTTAACCCTAAACCCTAAACCCTAAACCCTAAACCCTAAACCCTAAACCCTAAACTCCAAAACCCTAGAGCAGCCTCAGGCCCGGAAGTCGACGTGCCCTGGGCCCTGCCGAAGCTCCTCGGACTCCATCTGCGGATTCGGGTTTAGCGTTTAGGGCTTAGGGTTTAGGGTTTAGGGTTTCGGGTTTAGGGTTGAGGGTTGAGGGTTTAGGGTTTAGGGTTTAGGCTTTAGGGCTTGGGGTTTGGAGTTTAGGGTTTAGGGTTTAGGGCTTGTTTAGGGTTTAGGGTTTCGGGTTGGTGTTTAGGGTGGTTTTCGCATTCTTTTTGGGTTTTGTTGCGGGGTGTTGGGGGGTCTTTAGGTTTTCTTTTTAGGCCTATTCTTTTCTTTTTTTGGCGGTTCAGTTCGTTTTTGCTTCCGGTTTTTGGGCTTTTTAGGATTCAGGGCTTTTAGGTTTTTGTTCTTTGCTTTTTGGTATCGGTCTAGTTTTTGGTCCTTTAGAGCTTTTTGAGGTGCAGTACGGTGCATGTTTTGGTGATAATACTGTTGTTGGGGTTCTCAGGGTTTTCAGGTTCAGGGTCTTTTGCGGAGAAGAGTGTATGTAACCACCTGCTGGTACCCCACGCTCACCCCCAGCCCCACATTCACACCCACGCCCACGCCCACGCCCACACCCACACCCACACCCACACCCACACCCACACCCACACCCACACCCACACCCACACCCACACCCACACCCACACCCACAGCCACCCACACCCACACCCGCACCCACACCCACACCCACACCCCCCCACCCCCGCCCAAAATGCATTCTAGTCCCTGGACCCGACTTCTTATAGGGGGTTAGGGAAGGCTTGGGGCTCTGAATCCCCCCAAAAGGCCTTAACCCCCAAAGCCGACAGCCTCAATCCCCCGAAGCTGCCGCGGAATGGCGGCCGTCCTTCTTACCCTAAACCCTAAACCCTAAAACCTAAACCCTAAACCCCAAACCCTAAACCCCAAACCGTAAACCCTAAACCCAGGTCCGAAGGCCTGAGCCGGAGACTGCAGCAGGCCGCCCTTGGTCTGAATTTCAGGAATTCAGGGTTGAGGGTGCAGGGGCTTTTGGTTGAGTTGGGGGGGGGGGGGGCGCTCTGGGTTTAGGGTTTAGGGTTTAGGGTTTAGGGTTTAGGGTTTAGGGCTTAGGATGTAGGGGGCTCTGGGTTGAGGGTCTTCATGGTGTAGGCGGGGGTTCAGGGTTGACGGTTGAGGAGTTAGGGCTTAGGAGCGGGGGGAGTTGGGGTTAAGGAGTTCTAGGCTTGAGGATGCTCGTCGTGTTGAGTGGAACTCACTGACCACTAAGGGGCTCCATGTGGGCTAGGTGCCCCCGCACGGTTTGTTAGCAGAGCTGTGTCGGCTTGTATCTAAGGGGAGTTACATGGGCCCTTAATATGGTCCCTTACCTCCTTTAACGGGTTCTGAAGTATGCTCCCTTGGGTTTTCTAGGGATCATTAAGGGGTTTTCTCAGGGGTCCCCTTTTAAGGGCCCATACGAAGGGGCCATGTAGCTACCCTGAGATTGTAGGAACTGCAGCCGCAGCTATCGCGTGTCTGCTGCGACAGTCCTTTTCATCCCGCAGGAGCCCAATTTGTTGGACTTCACGGTTTAGGGTTTTGGGTTTAGGGTTTAGGGTTTGGGGTGTAGGTTTAGGGTTACGACTTCTTCTTGGGCCACCGGATCTGGACACCTAC